TGTTGAGGGATGGGGCTATGCGGAGGGTTTGGTTGGTTAGATTGGTGAGGGATGGGGGCTATGGGCATGGTTGGTTAGATTGGTGAGGGATGAGGTCTATGGGCATGGTTGGTTAGATTGGCCAGGGATGGGGCTATGGGCATGGTTGGTTAGATTGGTGGGGGATGCGGGCTATGGGCATGCTTGGTTAGATTGGTGAGGGATGAGGTCTATGGGCCAGATTGGTGAGGGATGGGGCTATGGGCATGGTTGGTTAGATTGGTGAGAGATGGGGGCTATGGGCATGGTTGGTTAGATTGGTGAGGCATGAGGTCTATGGGCAAGGTTGGTTAGATTGGTGAGGGATGGGGACGATGGGCATGGTTGGTTTAATTGGTGAGGGATGGGGGCTATGGGCATGGTTGGTTAGATTGGTGAGGGATGGGGACTATGGGCATGGTTGGTTAGATTGGTGAGGGATGAGGGCTATGGGCATGGTTGGTTAGATTGGTGACGGATGGGGACTATGGGCATGGTTGGTTAGATTGGTGAGGGATGAAGTCTATGGGCAAGGTTGGTTAGATTGGGGAGGGATGGGGACTATGGGCATGGTTGGTTTAATTGGTGAGGGATGGGGGCTATGGGCATGGTTGGTTGAGTTGGCGGGGGATGTTTGGTTAGATTGGTGAGGGATGGGGACTATGGGCATGGTTGGTTAGATTGGTGATGAATGGGGACTATGGGCATGGTTGGTGAGGTTGGTGATGGATGGGGACTATGGGCATGGTTGGTTAGATTGGTGATGAATGGGGACTATGGGCATGGTTGGTTAGATTGGTGATGGATGGGGACTATGGGCATGGTTGGTTAGATTGGTGACGTATGGGGACTATGGGCATGGTTGGTTAGATTGGTGAGGGATGGGGACAATGGGCATGGTTGGTTAGATTGGTGAGGGATGGGGACTTTGTCCCAGGAGCTTGTTTTAAAACAAATGTGAGATATTTATGCAATTAATATGCCAAGCTGTAAAATCATTACATATGTTTGCTCTCCAAACAATTATAACATCAGCTCTCCTCTCTCTCTCTCTCTCTCTCTCTCTCTCTCTCTCTCTCTCTTTCTCTCTCTCTCTTTCGCTTTCTTTTAACCGCCCCCCCCCTCTTTTTCTCTCCCAACCACCCCTCTCTTCCTTCCTCCCCATCAATAGGACTGTGGAACTACATCCAGCAATGTTACCTGACCCCCCACCATGCCTTGTTCCTGTCACCCCAGATGTTCTCATACCATCGAACTGTATGACCAGCCAAGTATAGAGCACAATGGCACTCATCAGAGTTTGGCCAACTGCGCAGAGCCATAAGAGTGTGATCCCTTTGCACTGAATATCAGTTTGCACGTCAGAGACAAATCTCCTGCCTTTACCACCACTCTGACTCTGGTAACATAACGTGAGATGTTTTCCAGATTTTGACGCCAAATTCTCAATTATCAAAAGCGATTTCATCTTAGTAGTATTATTGAACATGCGTGTCATTGGTATGTGTGTGCCGTTGTATGTTTATACCGTTGTAATTGCAGCATAAGTAGCACATATGACATTCCCTCTGTTTCCTTACAGATGTTCAGCTGCCGCAATTTGCATTTGCCCTGCGAATCTCTGTGTACATTCGATCTGTGCAAGGCAAAAATTAATGTTTTTAGAATATTTTCTTTCAGGCCAAATGCAATGTAATGTAATACTGCGTTATGACCAGTAGATGGAGCTGAGGAACATAAGAAATAAGTATTTATTTTCTATGCTCCTCAGTGCCATCTAGTGGCTATAATGTAGTATTCAATATACTATAAATGTTCGTGTTTGCCTCTGTTAGAACAAAACGAACATTCACAGAGATTCGCAGGGTGAATAGCCCTGCAAATTATTTATAAATAGACCCCTAACTGTCGATCAGCATTTTATCAATTTCTACAGCTTAACCTTTTTTTTGAGCTGTTCAATTCTATTTCTTCGCTTCCTTTTACTGTATTTTGACACTTGAGGGAATACTATTTCATAGCCAGCTTTCTCCAGTCTGTAAAACCTTCTGGACAGTTTTTCACTGAAAAAATTGTCCAAAATGTTCCCCACCCTAAACCTATTCTAATCCATATTTAAAGGAAGAAGTTCATAAAGCTCCACCGATTTAAACTTTTCAAGCCAATCTTGTAGATGAGGATAAAAAAATAACCTTTTTTAATTGGGCGCCTAATCTCCTTAAAGTGCACCTGTCAGCAGACAAATTGCTGCAAAGGAAGATGATAGGAGAGGATAGAAGCTACTATTTGTCTTTTCTTTTTTGAGGTCTTAGAGTATTTTGAAAGTGGAAGGTTAAAGTGAAGCCGACCCCCACCTAAGATAACAACAGCGCTGTCTAAAAGTTGGTCCCTGTGTGGAGTCCGTTGAATTTTAGGCCCAGACTGTACTCTGGATTTTGACTTCTCTCCCAGCCTTCCTATTGTCATTGTCAGATACCAGAATCTTAGTGGGCAGAAGCGGCTTTGGCATCTGATAGCTGAATGATGGGACCAGAGGTGAATGGGTCGGGGTAGGAGGACATACTACATTTTGAACCAGTAGGTGCTGCATCGGCGAAGATACCACAAAATTGACTCTTTTAGTGTTGTAAAAGTGTCTTCTGTGCCCCTCTCTGATTTAACTTCACTTCATTTCTGGCTTTCCTTGTCTTGATGGCTTAGCTTCACCAACTACCATCTACTTGTCCGGTGAGGATGCCTTTACTGGCCATTGATGAGTCTCATTGGACACTGGAATGGCAAGGTTGAGACTTATCAGGTCATAAGAAATGCTTCCATCAGACCCTCTACATTGTTTGTCCATCATTTAGATGATGTCACATGTGATGCACCAACGCCCTACCTTAAGGGGTAGAGATGTGTCCTAGGTGGTGTCCTCTATGGTCAAAGTGGAAGAAGGTCTTCATGACTCTTACTTCAGATAGCAGCAGAGGATTCAGAACCTGCAGAATTTATTTCTAGTCCAGCAAGACTTTATTCACACGGACCTCAAAAATGGGCGTTTGGCCTACCGACTGCTATATGACTCAGTATTACACCTTCATTGGGCATTGCTTTCCACTGTGGTACACTCTCCCATGCATTTCAATTGCCTTCCTCAGTCAGGAAGTGTTGACCGCATTGGCCAATTGTATCTGCTATCATGGAGTTGCTGGTTGCTCATCTGCATTCATAATCTGCATGAACCTAACAGAAACTGCCTCCCTCAAGGTTGATTGAGTGAGGCGCGGCATATTTAAAGTGTAGCAAATCCCCTGGACTCAAAGCTCCTACACAACCTAACCTTCTATCACTGCCACATTCATAAGGGGAGTGGTTTAAAGGTGTGGGCAGGGCTTAAACCGTTGTGAAATACGCTAAAACCTTCAATGTGACCAAAACAGAAGCAGCGCCAGCTCTCTGTGCTTCTCGGCAGCTTGCTGTATGATGCAATGTAATAGGTGTTCATTAAGCTAGGCACCCCTGGGGGTCTCCGTGGGTCTTCCCAGGCACCATCTTGTGTCATGTCACACAAATAGGTATCACAGTGCCAATCCCACTGCCTGTGTCCCAACCTGATAGTACAGGTAAGTAGAATACTCTTAACTCTTGACCCAAATCGATTACATTTGTATCCACCCCTCTCATTGGTGGTGTTAGAACACTTCCTAGACCCCTGCCAGTGTAGCTGCACCGATCAGGAAATAATGAGAACTACATTTCCAACAAGAATGAAAATGGTTGCAATGTAATTTCGCGTTCAGACTATTGCGTTGCAGCACCATTGTAAATGAACCTACACAGCGCACCACAATGCACATGCGTTTCAGCACACCACAGATGGTTCACATTTGTGCATTCCAATGCATGACCCCCAGAAAAAAAGAGCAAGTTTGTTAAACCCTTTGTTGCGCTCCATTGACAGCCCATTCACAATGAATGCACGTTATGGTGAATGCGGTAGCACGTCGCAACAATGTGAATTGCCTCATGTGATCAGTGGAGCAGAAGGAGGGGTGTGTGTACATAACAGCGACCTCCAGGCCCACATGCTGCTAGTCAGAGGACAGATTTCAGCTAAAACAGATTTCTCCAGGTAGAAAGGACAAAGGATAAAGCGGACCTCGTGCCATATAGATTTGACCATGTTAAGTGTATGCATGTTATTTAGAGTGTATGTTTTATACTGCTACAGTTCTCCCCCCGCCCCCCGGCAATGTCTTTATCTTTCCTACTGCCCAGAAGGCCGGAACCATCGTTTTTTAGATATCATCCAGGGTCAGCATTTATGCTTGCATGCTTCTCTCTGCCTACAACAGGCTGATGGCATCATTTTCTCAAAGTCCTACTCTTAGCCTAGGCCCGCCTTTCTCAATCAGAGTTCCCGTGGCACCCTAGGGTGCCTTCTGGCTTCCTCAGGGGTGCCTCGAAATTTTGGCCAGCACCATGGAAACAAATGACGTTAATCCAGGAAGGGTGTAACCCATTCAAAAAAGTTCTCCTCCATCCAGGCCTGCTTCGCCTCTTGCCCTCTGCCATGCTGTCACAGCTGCGGCTCCTGATATGAAAGAAAAGGGGACTCTGATTTGAAGGGGGGCTTTTGATGTGAAAAGGGAACTCCTTATGTAAAGGGAGGCCTTCTAATGTGAAGGAGGACCTCTGATGTGAAAAGGGGGGTGCTGATGAGAAGGGGGGGGGGGACTATGGTGTGAAGGAAGGGCTCCTGATTTTGCATGGGGTCTCCGCTGAAAAATCATACCAGAGCCCTATCTGGGATAAGGGGGTGCTATGGACTTTGGAGGGGCAACACTTTTTTTACATTTCTGTTTTTTAATGTTTTAGATTGGGGTGCCTCAAGATTTTGCATACCTTTATAGGGGGCCATGATTGCAAAAAGGTTGAGAAACGCTGACCTGGGAAAAGTCACTTAGCTGGAGCTTAGGTACTGTTTTCTTAATGAACAAATAGTGTATGAATGCTTTATCCTTTAGGTTTTCTGTGTATGCCAATGGAGAATCCACTAAGGGTCCAGGAGACAGAACTTGTATCTCAGTAGCCCCATAGTGGATTCTCTATAGGAGTATACAGATCATTTGCATCGGTAAGCACCACTGGGATTGGGTGCATAATTGAACAACTCAGCCCAGCAATGTCTAGTACTGAAGGAGACATCCTAATACAAGAAGATCCTGATGGGGAAGAACCTCGTCACACCCGACCCAAGTTGAAAAAGTTGTTTTGGATGGATATTAGCTTCAAGATCTTTTCTGGTCTACCAGCCTGCACCAACCTCTGTATTCACTCGGTGGCACCTCCATGGAGGCAATCCATGTTATCGCACCAGTAGAGGGAGCGTTCCAATATATCCCAGAAATACCTTTGTGCAGGACTTCTTATTGACCCCCTGATGGAACTGGTACAATTATATGACTGTTATTTACACCTTATGCTCCCCTCCTCCCTGATCCATCTATGAGCCTTGAGCAGAGTTTCCCTTTAAGTGAATCCCGGAGACGGTGCAACCTTCACAACAGGCAGCTATGAACACAGATATGTTGTCGCCGTATCACTTTCTAACCGTGTGATTTCTATTATTTGTACATTTTTGTATGTGCTGCACACAATGGTGGCTTCTAATAAAATTGATACTGTCTTGTAATCATGCTTTGCGGTTGTTTTTGGGCGCACTTTTACCAGGTGGATATAACAGAAGCAGAGATGGAAGATTCCACTTTTTGGATCCTATAATATACTGGAAGCAATAATATGGCCCAATGAGAAGGATAAGCACCTGGAATGCATGGATGGGATTTGCCTGTGCTGTTACAGGTAAAGCAAGCAATGTCTGCCCTGTTATTGCACATTGGTCTATGGCAGGGGTGGGCAAACTCTGGCCCTCCAGCTGTGGCTAAACTACAAATCCCACCATGTATCTGCCTCTGGGAGTCATAACTGTGGCTGTCAGTTTTGCAATGCCTTGTGGGACTTGTAGTTCCACAACAGCTGGAGGGCCGGAGTTAGCCTACCTCTGGTCTAGGACATACAAATATTTTATATATATATATAGTTTTTTTCCGTTTCTGTTTTTTTAAAAGGCTTTGGATGGGGCTTTCCATACACCATTGTAAAACCCAACCCCAGCATTTTTGCAATGGTAGACTGTGTTTCCGGTATGCGTCTAAAGAGCGTGCCTTGAAATAAGTTAGTACACACAGATATAATAAAAAATAAAAACATTTATTATAAAAAAAAGTATGAAACACAGACTAAAACATTGAGCTATAAAATCTTTCATGTAACTCAGGGAAATGACGGCTTGAAGGGAAATATTCACATTAGGATGTTCTATGTACAAAAGGTACACTGTGGTCAGCGGTAGAGTAAGACTAAGAAGAGGAACAGGAAGAAATCTATTAATTTGAAGTGCAACTGAAGCCAAAACTTTTTGTTTAAGATTTGGATGGAGTTAAGAGGAATTAGAACGTTTGTCAAGTTTTTATTGCTGGCTATGTCCCCGTTAGGAAGATTCACCCTCTCTGTGTCCTGGTGAACGTTATGAAAGTGAAAGAAAATCCTGAATTGCGGGTTGTCATCAGAATAGGAATAGATGCGGAATCTTGCAATGGGGACACTAGTTCTGGTGACCACCTGTGATTTCCCTTCACTTTGGAGGGATTTCCTCTTACTTCTTCTTGTGGTTATCGGAAAGGAAGTGAAGGGAAATCTCCCCAATGAGACACAGGTGGCACAAAAAAGCTACTAGGGGTTATATTTATCCCCTGCTCTTGGCTTCATTTCTCCTTTAATGCTAGGCTGTCCGCCTCTGGCCTTGAGATCAGTCCACCAAGACACCTCTGTTTTTGGTAGATAGCATTGTATCGCATAAACTACCAATTCTTGAGGTGATATCTCTGTACCTGGGTTCCCAGCCTTAACCCCGGCCAGAGCTTTGTATTTCTGAGCTGGTCCCACTCTCCTTTATGGTTTTATTTTACATTATGGGGCATAGAGAAGCAAGAGCGATGGGCAGCAAATGTAGGAATAACAGTGGGGAATCTACCTAGTGGAGTCCATAACAAGTCAATGGATGACAATGGCATCAACACGTGACACGGAATACAAGTTTAGAAAAACTTTCCCTTTAGGGCCGGTGCAGACCTGAGCGATCTGGGATCACACGGTCGTGCACAATTGCAGACAGCGAATGCCGTGCGGCCCCATTGATTATAATTGGGTACATCCAATCGCAGAAAAATTATACAAGCACCTTTTTTTTTGCGATACACGACCCGCAGCTGTTTTAGCCGTGATTGTGTTTGGATGCACGGGCGGAATCACGGCGGGAACCGCGTGATTTGGCCTGGCACGACTGGGTTGGCATTAGAAAATAATGGCACCCATAGCGCGATCTTCGATGATGGGCGACTCCGTGACCACACGGCATACGTAGGTGTTCCCCAGCCCTTAAGGGTAACAGCACAAAACCCCATGGATTGATGGCACTAGTAGTAGATGACTGGAGTGTACAATTCTGCTATGAGCGGCGCCGTTTGCAGTCACTTCGAGCTCCCACGCTGATGGGGATACCCGGTGAGGAGTGCAGCAGGATTCTGGAATACATGAAGTGTACAACTGGCACGTGCCAACTTGCCTCTGATTCACCTTTTGAGTGCATTGTTTATAGTGCTGCACCACTCACTTTTACGGACTACAGATATCATTCACAGCAATCCCTGCCCCCCAGGAGCTGACAATTTAATGTCTCCACCTCAGTCTGATAACTTCACATTCTAGGGCCAATTTTGGTGAAAGCCAATCAATGTTTTTGTAAAAGGAAAATGGAAATACACCCTACAAACACCAGGTTAAAAAAAAAAAATCTTGACTCTCTGGAGTGGAATCCCCTTTAAAGTAAATCAGTCATGAAAAAAGGTTTATGGACTACCACTGCGAGCTACTGAAATTAGTAAATGCCTGGCCGTCTCTGGACCTTCATGAGTCTCTGGCCTGGAACAAGTTTGCAGCAGCTGCAGTCTATTACTTAATCAAGGTAAGTGACCCAAGTGTCAGAAGACAACCAAACAACTAGCAATGCCAGATAGGGATCAGCTGTGATAGCCCCTGTATATCTCTCATCACAGCGTTCCATGGAGGAGGACACAAGTTTGGAGGCTAATGCATTGTGATAATCTACAAATCTCTGATCGTCCGGCACTGCTACACGGCAAAGACTTGTGTTCTATATGTCTCTAGAACCCACTGACCACATTCATTATTTACAGCAACATTCGGCAGTGTTCAGCTCTGATATAATACAGTGTTGGTATATTTACAGTTCATGTTATAGATAAAAGTCCATAGTCTGCTGGAAGCTAAAGTCAGCCTAAAATCATAACTTAGGTATGGATGGACGATGTTGGTCAGAGTCACTAACTCCTTATATCTCTCATAAAGGACATCCCAACCTCTTTAGCCCCTTAACCTACCTTACTTTAGAATCCCCCCCCACCCACCAGGTGCCTACTTACCTCTTCCTGACACTGATGACCTCCTCTGGTATGTACAGTTCCTGAGCAAATATCATCTTCAGTGCTAAGAGCACCTGCAACGTAAGTCCCTATAGACTTGAGTAGAGCTAGACTCTCTAATGTAGGAGAACATCCTTATTCAAGTCTATCTGGAGTTACTGCACAGGCATAGATAACACAGAAGAATATTTCTGAACAGAGGGCACCACCATCAGCAGGAAGAGGTAAGTAGGCACCTGGTGGGTGGGCGAGTGTAGGGAGGGTTCTCTCCTGGATCAGGTTAAGGTGCTAAGGTGGGTGAAGTTTCTGCATTTTGTAAACCAACGAACAAGAAAACAGGCAAATAGAGACCCCTTTGTATTGGTGAAGCAGGCGGGTGCAGCTGAGATGTTTGGCTTCCGGTAGATATTTACAGGGTTATTCACAAATGGGTGAAGAGTTTGGTGAAGGCAGGAGAAGGGAACCATCTAGGACAACATAGCTGAACTGGAAAGTGAGCTGAATTGGAGAATTTTTCCAAATCAGATAATTTGGCCTAGATTGTTTCCTTCTCCTGCCTTCTCCAAACTCTTCACCCCTTTGTGAATAACCCTGTGAGTGACTCAACCATCCAGGGTTCATCCATAACCGAAATGCCAGTTTGAAGTGGCCTAATCCCCCACTGTCCTGTAAAGCTGCGGTTCTCTTGAATGTTTACTTCCATTGTCTAAGTTCCATCCTTCTTAGATGAGGAAAGCTTTTTCTGGTCCACATGTATATATATCAGATGAGTCCATATCTTCCATCATGAGGACCAGTTACTAGCACTGGGAGTAAACAGGGGCCGGAAATTGACCACAGAGGCTGTTTTGGTAAATATTGGGTGAGGGAGGAGGACTTTCCTCCCCAGATTCAGACATCAGAAGGTAGGCATACTTCAGAGGCTGGCGAGGGGGAATGGAGCGAGTCCTGGGGGATAAGAGCCCATCACACGTCTCTAAAACTGTATACTCAAAACTGGAAGCGGGACTCGGTGTCCCCTCCTCTGAATTTAGGGAGTCCTCTCTGAAAATGGCCCTAGAGCTAGGTGGACCTTTAAGTTTCATTATCTCAGTGCCGGCTGTGGCTGGCTCTTCTACAGCAGTCGGCTGCCTGATGTCCTCTGGATCCCTTGGTCTTCCCTCTGTCCTCATGGTCTTCTCATCTGCTGGGCTGAACTGAGCTCTCTGTACATTGTCTTGTCTTGTAGATACCATCCATGCAAGTAAAGGAGGTAGAATATTCTCATCCAGAGCAACATAGCTGTCTTTTGGTGGTAGTGGTACAGGAGGCAAGATAGATGGAGGAACATTGGGAAGCTCTGATAATACTTCCAACGTTGTAATGGGACCTTCATGAAAGATATTTCTTGAGATCCAGGTAAGGTATGAGTCTGTCTGGCCTAGCCATGTCTGCAAATGAATAACCGAGAAAATACCTAATTAATACCCAAATGATGTAAACAGGGAACATTTCGCTTTACCTATTAAACTTTCTGATCAGCATGCTTACCTTGAAATTTCCTTTATGGGTGGTGTAGAGTTCCTTGAAGTGGTGTTCAGGAGTTGGGATATCTGGCCACATCTTTCTCTTGAGGAACCTACAAGGACAGACATGAGTCAGTGATGAAGTGTGCGGCATGCAGGTATCATACACAACTTCTTCAATGGTTTCATTTACCTTCTTTGACAAACAACCACTATGAAGATGGACATTAGTACCACAAAGCCGGCAAAACCGAACATCAGCATGTGAATCTCATCAAATCCTATAAAAAATACAAAATGAATGATTAGTCTTTTTTCTTTGTTATTGCCAAACCTGTACGGTGTTATAGTTTTTATTGCTGGCTGTGTCCCTGTTTAGGAGGAATTGGGCTGACATGGGGATCTGGTTTTATTCTTCTTCCTGAGCATTCTGTGGCTCAGTATGCAAACGTTTGACTCTGTGCTGCAAAGCTGGAGCTTTGCCTTACCTCCAATGCCCCAATCTGTAAGCTATCCTATATATTCCATACTCTGGACTGCCGAATACCATACATTGTGCTAAAAGTTACTTTTTTGGGCCTGCCTCACTCCATACACAGTGCTCTGTAAGTGGCATACTCTGGACCCCTCCATTCCATAAACTGTGCTTTAAGTGATGTACTCTGCACGCCTCCACTCCAAACACTGTTCTGTATATAACATATGCCAGTCTGCCACCTTCTGTATACCGTGCAGTTCATAACATACCCCACAATGAACACTGTGCTGTACATTATACAATATAATCCATACTGCTAATCATCACTATATCGTCATATTAAAAGGCAGAAGTCATTTGTAATACTGAGACTTCATTAAGGTCCATTCAATGACCACACAAAACTCCTTTGCTTGTATAGGAACAATGTATATGACACACTCACCATTGGATGTCTGAAAAGTGGTCATGGCCCAAACACTCCAGTACCCATTGTATGGTTCATCTGCTTTCGTTCTCACATTGATTGTGTACACAGCATCTCTTTTCACTTTCTCCAGGAAAAGCATCACATAGCCGTCCTCTGAGCGCACCTAAAGTGAAGAGATTACACTGTCTATAAAGCGATACTAAAGCGCAGGCTGGGTGGATGGATGCCACAATGTGCTGTGAGATATGGTCCTTGTCTGCAATTTGTATTAGTAAGTCATTTTCAGTGAATCAATGTAAGGATTACGGTGTAATAGAGGAGCAGCAAACTACAAAACTGTCTAGTGCAGGATCAGCTTCTCTTCGAGGCATATAAATTGCTTTTGACGACATCTCAATCATGACCATAGCCTGAAAAATCCAGACATATCAGACAAATCCTCATGTATATGGATGTCTTCAGACAGCCCCAGCCAGACAAATCTTGGAGGAGAGAATCCTCAACATCTCTAGCTGCTTGTACTGTGAAGTAATTAATTCTCAAAGATCCACCTGGCCTGACCCTTTGCCTGTTCTTGATGATCCTTGTTATCCACCTGCCCTGACTCTTTGTCTGTTCTTGATGATCCTTGTTATCCACCTGCCCTGACTCTTTGCCTGTTCTTGATGATCCTTGTTATCCACCTGCCCTGACCTATTACCTGTTCTCGATAATCCTTGTTATCTTCCTGCCCTGACCTTTTATCTGTTCTCGATGATCTTTGTTATCTTCCTGCCCTGACCTTTTGCCTGCTCTCGATAATGCTTGTTATCTTCCTGCCTTGACCTTTTATCTGTTCTCGATGATCTTTGTTATCCACCTGCCCTGACCTTTTACCTGTTCTCAATGATCTTTGTTATCCACCTGCCCTGACCTTTTACCTGTTCTCGATAATCCTTGTTATCCACCTGCCCTGATCTTTTACCTGTTCTCGATAATCCTTGTTATCTTCCTGCCCTGACCTTTTACCTGTTCTCAATGATCTTTGTTATCCACCTGCCCTGACCTGTTGTCTGTTCTCAATGATCTTTGTTATGCACCTTACCCGACCTTTTCCCTCTTCTTAATGATCCTTAATATCCACCAGCTCTGTTCTTTTTGCCAGCTCTGTTTCTTTTAGTTTAAATAGGGCCATCTATTCAGAGAAGCTGCATCACTTCCGGTGCGCCACATTAGCACGTTTCCACGCACACGTTCGTTGAGTGCGCATGCGCAATAGCGCCCATTTCCCGTAAATGCGGGAGACAGGCTACGCACATGCGCAGAAGTACCCGCATGACCAGGTATAGTCTTACACTCCCACAGCTGTGTGCAGTGCTGCTTCTTACTCTCCCAAATGGCAGTGGCCTCCAGTGCAGGGGACTTCAGGACACTGATACAAATACAGATTCAGATATTTATACTAACAATACCAATTGTGATTAGACTATGAGTTCAGTGGTAACACCTTTATAGACACTAGGAGAAGTCTCAAAACGTGATTAACATGCTACAAGTCAAACTGAAAGATAAATGATTTAAGTACCTTTGACTTTTGAAATATCATGGAGTTCTGCCCTTTGTCATTCGTATAAACGACTTCGTACATCAAACAATCTTTGAGGATCAGATCCTTCACTGGGTTCTTGAAGGTGATCAGCAATCCCAGGGGGTTCCTCTGTTCTCTCACTGTGATATTACTCGGGGGCTCCAGGTAGACTGAAAACAGAGGGCTACGTGAAACATTTGTACTTCTTTTCACAGAGAGACGAGGGTGATGACATCATTTCACAAACATGGAGCCTTTCTATCCATGAAGAAAACTGAGAATTGTGTCTGCAATGGTGGCCAAGAGGGAAGGCATGAGAAACGTTTCCCATCTGACCTGTCTGGCTCTAATCTTTGGATATGGGCACCAACGCCATTCAATACACTACAAGGAGCATAGTGCCAAGTGCAGTTCCTACAGCTGTCTCTGTCTTGCACTGGTGTGATTTTAACAAAGTAAGTTATGAGGAACTGAGCTCCAGAAGAAGGCAGAGGGCAAAGAACTAGTCACCAGCATTGCCTGTGGTCTCCCTACAGATGACCCTACACCTGAATTATAGCACAGTACTTCCTGGCATGTCAGTGTGCCTAGGCAGTCCTGTGCCTACAGACTCATAGCTGTATATCTGCAGTATGAGATCTAAGGCACTGCTGCCTCGGACTGCCAGCCTCAGGAGATTTGGAGTGAGATTTGGTGATCTCATTACTGTGCAGCTCATTGCTCTCCTTGGTGAAGGTGCAGACCCAAGAAAGCAAAGTCCTGCCTTTTTCAATAAAGCTGCCTCCACATAGAGATATTGTGCAGAACAAGGCAGGGTAAGACAGTATTGGGGAAAGAAAAGCTGCGTGAAGACCACAAGCAATGCTGGTGACCATAGGAGGACGCGCCCTATTGCATTGGGGTGTGCACACAAAAGTACAAACACACACGTGTATATATATAATATATATATATA